ATTAAATTCATTTCAAATATTTGTTTCTACTGAGAGAGTTTAGGGTTCAGATTTGAATCACAGACTTGGATTTGAATCTGTTGCACAATGCATGATTGTCCATAATCAGAAAGCTCAGTTAATTTCCTCTGATGAAAATGAATCATACAGGTTAGGGGCGCAGCACTACACAAACATGAGAGCTGCTCACAGCTGATGTTAAGTGGCATGAAAATGATGAAGTGTTGGGCTGATCATGTCTATCAGTGTTACTGACTAATCTCCTCCAGATGAGAGTAATCTCCCCCAACTCCAGCCACCATCAAATCAGTGTGGAATCCACTCAGCTTGCAGGGGGAAAAGGTGCCGCACGAAAAGCCCGACTGGAGCAATAAGAATTGTTTTAACTGCAGGTGTTAGAGAGTCCTGAGCTGCCAAACAACCTTCTTACCCACTCCGACCTTTCATCAACTCTTATTTGACTAAATGAAAAGAGCGTTGCCCAGATTTCTATCAGGTCGATCTGTGTTTTCATGTTAAAGCATTACAGTGGTGTTTGGCCACATTCAAGTGTGTAACCAGAACGCTACCCAGTTAACTCTCTGATGTGAGGCCAGTGACGTCTGATCGCATGTTCACTGCACTCGGTTCAGTAAAAAAAGTTTGAACACAGATACACTGATGAGTAAGGTCAGAATCGGGATGAGGACACGTTGCAGGGACAAACTGAACAATGAGCAGGCCCTGATTTTATATCAACTAGTGCAGTGCCCATTCTAAACCTGCCAGTTTGGAATGGACAGTTTGTTTGGCCTGTGTTATTACTCTGGAGCTTCTTCAGAATTATTCTTGGACTTTGATGAGTCCTTCTCAAACAGTTCTACAATATAATGACACTTTTAATTGTTTGTGTGCTGGGCGTTGTGTGAAGAGCTTTCTATAGTCAATATTTTTCAAAAAATTAAACTGAATGGTTTATTGTTTATTAATGTTCTTAGCTGTGGTTTTATGCAAGTTTGATCGACACAATCTTCAGACCCAATTCCACTCAGTATAAAGCGTTGCAGCAACAAAACGAACAAGAATGAGATGTGCATTCCACAGACAGACAGATGATTCAATAGGATGTAGATAATAAAATATCAGAGCGGCTCAGTGGTGAAGTGGATAAAACCTCACCTCATCAAGAGGACTATGGGGACGAGTATATATATATTGTATATATGTCCAGGTTGTATCGTGCCTTTCACCATGTGTCAGCCAAGATTAGCTCCAGACAGCTCCACAGCCCTCAAAGGGTGAGCAGCACAGTTAATGGAACGATGGATAAAAGGTGAATCATACAGTTTCTATTTAAAAATCATGTTTTTTTACACAATACGAATATAGAAACATACAATCCAGGGCACACTGTCCATTCCCAAAGGAGCTGACATTATAATATGAAATGTGCTACAGGGCACTACTAACACGTAACTTGTGTTGATGATGCCATCATGTGGACTTGTATAAATCATAAGAGTCTTATCGTGGGGAGATGTCTTTAAGGATGGTTACAAAAGTGTATTAATGAAAGAGAAACACACACAAACACACACACACACACATACACACACACACTGCTGATGACGTTGCTCTAAGACACAGAACAGTTGATCAGTAGGTGATTTTGGGTTATCGCTGTTTCATACATGACATGAGAAAATAAATGCACATGACATTTTCACCTAACTAATCCGATGCACCTTTTTCATGATGGCTGTGTGATTGGGCAGCCTGTGTTCTGCTGCACTGCTCACACGCTTTGCTACTGGTGCCCAGCTTCTGCCCCTGAAGCTTGTATCGCAAAGTAAAGAATATGTTAAAAGATGATTCCCTCCACCAAGGAGGTGATGCTTTCAACTGCATTTGTTCGTTAGTTAGCAGGATTATGCGAAAAAACTACTCAACTGATTTCCATGAAATTTTGTGAAGGAAGGAAGTTTTGTACAGATCCAGATCGGGGGGGGGTGGATCTGGGATTTGTTTTTTTCATTTTTCAACTTTATTTTTTATCCTATTTTGTTTTAAACATAAAATAAAAATATACATGGGGTGTTGAAAGGATAGTTCTATCCAAATACTCAAGTATTATACACTTAATTTTTGTACAGTCCCTTATGACTTTTCTGAAAAACTAATTGTTATCATATCTTAATATTTTTTACTCTCATCAGTACTGAAATCAGTATCAGTCTAAAAAAATCCAGTATTGGTCAAACTTTAACAGACGACACTAAAACTATGATCTAGTATTGCGGAGCCGTTTGAGGCTTCAAACACGATCCTGTGGTTCTGCTGTATTTGTGTCCAGTAAATGAAGAAAGGGTCAGTATCAGTCTTATCGCTCATGTGTGTTTGGAGTCTGTCGTCAGTCTTTGGCAGAAACATGAGCTGTTTTGTTTCTCCTGTGCCTCCCGTCCACAGGCTGATTTAAAGAAGAAGGGAATCAAAATGAACGGCCAGATTTGAGGATATTCCAATTTATGTTCATCTGCCTCTTCAATTACCCTCACTCCCGCGCCTGACATGACATCATGGAAAACTTTGCAAGGTCTAGGAGTGCAGGGGGAAACGCTGTGTTGTTCTCTGAGAGTCTGCAGGGATACATCGTTCTAAAAATACCGATTTAAATCACAGGATTCCTCGGATGCTTTCACCTTCAGCCCTGTGATGCCAGTGGCATTTAAGCCAGGTTGATTTGGGCTGTGAAGCTGAAAAGCAGAGATATTTCAGCACGGATTAATCATCAGATGGATTCAATAAAATGTTCAAACAACCTTGTTTTATCTGGCCTGCGGATTTTCTTGGAAAAGACATGTGACTTGCATACTTACCTATTTACCTGCTGTATGTACGTTGGCTGAGATGGCGCACACGATTTTGTCTTTAAATATGTTCTGCAATTTTCTAAAGTTTCTAAAGATAATAAACAATTATGTTCATATTAAATTGAGGTGAGCTTGTTTGTGTTTTACTCTCTGCTTTTCTAATTGACTTCGACGACTTCATCAATCATGTGAGGGATACCATTAGTGCTCCTGAAACTGTGAATGTTTAGCTGTTTGCTCGGAGCCAGCAAGTCAGAAAGATAAGCACTTGTTTATAGACGTGGTAATGGAGGTTCTTCATGAGTGCAGAATTGGATTTGACTGTTGATGACCACAACATGAGCTCAGGTTCCTCGGAGTTGGTTTTAAGGTTTCTGTAGAACAGTGAAAAGAGCATCATGTTCTTCCAGCCAAACAAGCTGAAGTTCCATTTATTCACAATTTGTAATTCACTAATTTTCATGTTCCTCAGAGATACAGAGTGAAAGAAACTAATATAAAAGTTATGGCATTCATATTTTTTTCTTCAGCATTCTCTTCAATCCCAATCCCATTTTTCATCCCTTTAATTTGTTGCTGATATACCATATGTATCTGTTTGTCTTACATATTTGCCTGTACATAATAGCAATAAGGTTTTCCTTCTTTTGTTATTATAGTAATAAAGTAAAATTATGTTTTTTAAGTTTTATTGTTGTGTTATACTTGAGTCTTAGTTTTCTACAATTCTACAAGTAAGATTAATAAAGGAACTCACCCTGCTGGAAATTTTTATCAAAACAAAAAAAATAGTAGTAGTATAGTAGTAGTATTTTTTGCATGTTTAAAAAAATCTAATTTTTAAATCCACTGTTTTTCTTAATCCTATTTTTTTTCATTCAAAGCATGATTAGATATGTGTGACTAAATAAGCAAACATTTAATCTTCAGTTATGAAAAAGCAAACACTCATATAAAATTAATTAAGAGTTGAATGCTAAAATGTACAGCTAACACTGTGAGCTTTGTCAGTGCTCTCTGGATGTGTTTGGATCAGATTTGATTAACAGCTCTGGCAACAAAAGAGAAAAAGCCAGCAACTGCCAACACAGATGGATTCAGGTGAAAATGTTTTGACTGGTGCGTAGAAGTATGTGCCTGACGCAAAGTGACATTTACAGGCGTCTTATCTGCAACAGCATATGCTCCTATGTGTTGTGTAGGAAACATATCTATACATCTAAATCTTATATGAGGCCTAATAAGTTTCAAGCTCTTTTATTGTGAAAGCACATTTCCCCTTTGAAGCCTTCACATGCACAGAAATAAGTGTCACTTCCAACCACAAATGAGCTGGCACAATAAAATGAATCACATAAAGACAATAATAGCCAGTGGTGAATACACTTGTAAAAAGTGCCTCTGATGGCCACAAGCTATTAGCAGGTTGTTGCTAAAGAAACACATGGAGCTGCAGGAGCTCAGGTGGTGCAACAATTCATAGCTATATGAATAACGAATAACGCAACTCGACCACCAAAACTAGAGGAAAGGGAGGAGTGACTGTGTGTGTAGCATGTTTGTTTAATAACGGGTGACACGTCTGGTCTGGGCGGATATGGGTTTACAAGAAATGACCTGTACAGGACTCTGGATCACCCCATACACCTGCTGGACACTCAGCTGCTTTTAAAAGATGTTTCACTCATTAATTCGTTCATAATCCAGCCAGTGATTACATTGCTAGCACAACGTAATTAATTAAGAAAAACTATTTAGTTGTATAGATATATAAAGCAGCGCAGAACGAATGGGCAGAAAAAAATAAATGCTTGAATAAAAAAAAAATATATATATATATGAAAATCTCACTCAAGAAAAAAAACAACCAACTGTTTTAATCGGGAAAAATGTTATGTAGGATCCCATCAAAGCTCTGTGAGACCACAGTATCTAATCATATGATCAGAAATCAGCCAATCATATCAGTGCTAATCTTTCTCCACTCGATGAACAAGTCAGATCTCTAAGTGTAGAGAGTGAAGAGGCATGTTGGTCGCATGAGAATCGGCAGGATCATACTAACTTAAATTACTTAAGATAAATTTGAGGAGCACGTCCCTGTATGCTTGGATTTCAAATGAAAAGAAAAGAAATATAATCATAGCTCACCATTCTTGCCTTGTGCCGATGGAGGCTGTTTCTTTAATATGTGGTTTTTCATCTCCGTCAGCTGTCCAGTGTCTCCATGACCCTGTGCAGAACTCTGCAGGTGTCCGGGACACTGCCTGTCCTCTGAGCTGCTGTTGTGGATCTCAGAGCATGTCACTGCATTCATGGCTCACACGTCACTCCCCGGTGGACAACATCTCATCTCGGGTCACCGCAGCTGCCCTTCCACAGAGAAAAAAAAAGGCAATTATAGAGCAAACTCTGTACACATCACAGTGAGAGCACTTGACTCCGAGCACTACCCCAGTCAGCTGTAACCGTTTGAGAGCCAAGTTAATTGAGTTTGAACGAGCACGAAAGACACAGCAAACAGTCGTTTGAATGTTTGCATTTGAGAAATCCTCTGCGGTGCCTGGAGCTGGAGCGGAGCCATGTTAGTGTTTGCAGAATACAACACAAGTTCCAGATTTTGTATTGTTTCTTTTCAGAAGTCCATCTCAGCCCAGGCAGACGGCAGGGCGCGTGTCTGTTTGTTTAGAGAGCTCTAAGCCCACTTTCAACCTCACGGATGCATCCCTCCATCAGCCGCCACTATCCTCTGCTGCTGCCAATTTATCAATTTACACAATATACAAAGAACAGGCCTTCCTACCTCCTGAGCAAATATTAAACACATCTACTCTGTGGATTCAGTAGCTTAGAGAGCCCCCACAAGGTGTCGATGTGAATAATGAGCCTCTTACTCAGGTCCCGGACAAGCCAAGTCTTCATGGCAGCCCGTCCATGCTCCATACACTACATCATCTCCTGAGGCCTGCACCATAGGGCACCACAAACATACATTTCTGTTTTCTTTAATAAGCTCTGTTTGGAGAACTGCTCATATGCTTACACGACAATAAAACCCTCATAAATGTATCTAAGGCCTTATAACAATAGCACATTTTTAAACAGCTCCTTCAGTAGTTCATCAAGTTTTATTTCAGATTCCTAACAATACTGAAAAATGGTCATTTAAGATCAAACTGCAGAGATTTATTTTCTTTATTGTTCTGTCCATAAAATGTGCTGAGGGTATTCCAGGTCCTGTTTAGATCCCAACGAAGCTTTTAACATTGCATAACAAATGAGAAACAAAGCAGCAAAGTACATTTGGTATTCATAGATGAGGTGCTTTTGCAGTGCTCTGACATTTTTGTCAAGTGCTTGAATACACCATCATCCCCAATAATAATTCATAGTAATATTCTCAACATGGTCGCACTTGTCATTGAGTCAGTCCAACATTTGGTCATGTGGCCAGTTTATGAACTTGCCACTGCAGGAACAGTGATTATATTACCTTACAAATGAGCCTGCATGCACAGTTTATTTGTCATCGGTGCACTCTGGTACTCAGAGGTAGGGTTGGTTTGTCTTATTTGTTGAAATCCTCTTCACGTCGCAATAGCCATCAATAAATAAAAAAAAGAAAAGAGCTGGTGTTTGTGGCGTTCACAGGACTGTAATAAACGTTGTAATTAACTATCAAGTAATTTTACTATCAAGTAAAAAAGTAGTATCTGGACATTATAAATATCACTTTCCACCATAAACCCTGATATTCTCTGAAAGCTATTAAGCTATTCACAGTCATATGCTTTGCTGCTGTTAAGTGAGTCAGGCTTTGCCAGAGAACGACACTAATACATGAGTGGACATGAAAATACATTTATTTTACTGAATGCAGTGGAAGTTCAGGAGTTAAAAGGGCAAAATGTTCAGCAAATGACTAAAGGTAACTTAAGGTGGACAATTAATGTCCATAATAAACATTTTATCATGCATGACAGACTCATATCTCAGACACTAAACCTCAGCCATAGTGATTACTGCTTCCTCGTCCCTTCTTTAGCCTGACTCTGGTTGCTTTGCAGGAAGCCAGAATGTTATGGCTCAGCAGCAACCTCAGTCTGATATGCCTCATGATGAATGATGCACCAGAATCTGCCAGATTGAGCTGATTCCACTGGCCAAAAAAGTTAGCGCTGCTAACTCGAGGTGATTCTAAGGCCACCAGAACACCGAGCCAAATCTGGCAGCCACATGTAGGCCGAAGGCAGCCCCTTCTCAGCAGGCTACCTGGGTTTGTGCCCACATTTGTAATGCCTAGCTCCATTAACGGCCAAGATGATGGTCAACCCAAAAACACAAATCGAGGATTCAAAACTTCCTTTTAGGAATCTGTGGGTGACGCTCATGTTCGCCTACAGTCTCTGGTTGAAAGGAGTGGGAAAGTGTCTCTTGAACTGACCAACCAGCTATTTGTCACCCACCTACACATTCTGTGTGTTAACACTTGAAAGCCCTCAGTTGTCTTTGAAATACATCGGACATGTATTTAAACTTATTTATTTATATTAATATAAGTGTTCTGTTTTAAAAACTCTGACAGTTTTCTGATATTTGAATCTCCTCTTCTAAGAAACAATAGTGAAGACGCTGCATCTACTCAGACCATATCTTGACACATAGATTACATGTAGCATGGCTGACAGAACAAAAAGGGTTTGCACTCTATACCTAACATAAACATGTAGGGCAAATAATAACAAACCCGTGCATTTACCTCAGAAACAAGACAACAGCTCAAGTAAATCATGGTTTGTTAAAAGGCTAGGGGAGACTGGGACTCCTCCATGGAGCATCAGGAGGAACCTCTTTAATGAAGCCTTAACTGATGGGCCTGGCTGAACAGCCCACCCAGAGACAGATAGGACCCACTCGGATAATTTATCCCACAGTGACAACCCCCAGTGGGAATAGGTGGGGTTAGTCAGAGGAAAACACTGTCTCAAAGACAAAGAAAGGACAGGAATGATGCCCAAGTTCAGCTCAGTGTTTCATATTAGCTCATAGTATGAGACGTTATCGGCGAATCTGCTTTTTACGACACAAGATTGACTGAGGCAAAATGGCAATTCACTGGAAGGCTTGAAGGGAAAAGTGTGGATGAAAAAAAAGAGGAAGGGAAAACAAGTTTGCGTTCAAAAGGACCAGGTTATAGCCTGATGCTATCTGCCATTGTGTGGAGTGAATGGTGGCCTGCATGTCTGTGTCAACACAACAAGAGCCAAGACACGTGGCACTTGGAGCTCCATTGAGATGAACTGATAGCAGGTCCCACTTAACAGTTGTCCGCTTATCAATTCCCTCTGCCAGGCCATATGCTTGTTGTATTATCTACCCTTCTCTCTAATGACTCACAGATTAAAGAGCAACTGGGGGGGGGGTACACAGTCACTTGCCTCAGGATGTTTACGACCCCCCCTATATCTTCTGCGTGGTGGAATGCTAATCTTTATTACCTGGCAGTGTTTTAAGTTATTGGTCCCAGAACTTGTTTGTGTGATGTCACACTTAAAGACGCCATGTTGTAGATTTTGTCAGTGATGAAGTGGCGTGAAGTAAAAATATGTGTGCTGCGACACTGTAACCTTCTGAATGATCATCATTCAGTGAAGAAACCTTTTATGTTGAGCTGAAGTTAAAGTTCATATTTGCCAAGAAATTTATTTTTCAGTTGTGTACTTATCTTGTCAAATATGAGATAAAGGGGACAATAAATTGAAGTGAATGTCCATTTTGTGAGATTAATCTGTGTAAGATTTAGTGGCATCTAGCACTGGAGCAGCATATTACAATCAACGCCTGACCCTCCCCTTCCAAATGTGGAGGAGAACGTCTTGTGGCCTTCAGGTAAAAGGTTTGGTTTGTCCATTCTGGGCTGAAAACATGGTGGTAAAACATGGCAGACGCTGAAGCTGTGTCTCAATTCAGCAGCCGCATCCTGTGGAGGACCCGGTCTCGTAGTCAACATCAGCTGCATCCTGTGGAGGACCCCATACACCTCGTCGGCTGAACCGAAAAACCAGCTTGTCCTCTCTCATGTATTATTAGTATTAATAATTGGGGCTGCCGTTATGACTGATAACACCAATATATATGTGCATATTGCTATAATTATACAACCTGTCTAAAAGCAATGAAATACCACAGTATAACAGTATAAACTGGTATTCCTTCAACCCTGTCGGGTTGCTCATTGTGCTCATTTACAGAATGAAATAGAGCAACAAGTATTTCTGGGGCCATAAAGCACTGAGGTTATCTCATCTTTATTCATTTGACAATAACAGTTAGGCAAAATGTGGGGGGCCTGCTTTTAAATTACAGGAACACCAAAGGTGGGCTGTTGGTTACCAGTTGTCTACTTCCTATTATAGTAAACTTGCGCACTAACAACATCATTACACAATTTGTTGTGGCATTCATCAGCAACTTGAATGTAATCAAGCATTTGTTCTATTTAGCTTGGACTGAAGATGCAGATTGCAGTATTTCATGGTGAATTACAATGCACTTTCTATTTCAAGCTTTTTATGCTCAGGGCCAAAGATTCACACGTTTAGCCTTTACTGGATCTCTTCATCAGTCCTGGTCATCTTTCACTGCGAGATTATTCATCCGAATGGTCCCATCTGGTATGTTTTCCTCTCTTTTGTATCCTTCCTGCTTCTCTCACACTCTCCGAGGTTTGCGAGCGACCACCAGACGAGCTGAAGCCGAGCCAAATTTACAGGAGGCTTTCATGGCCTGTTATATTTATGTTGGGGTTGGTCCAGGATCTCTGACTGCTGATTGTGATTTTATGCTGGAATCAATATGGGGGATCCTCCAGCTGAGCTCATTATGATAATTCCTTCTTGAGTTGCACTTAATAACATTTGTTTTGCACATTTCGATAGGAGCACCACAGCTCCCCTCTGCTAAAGTGCCTTTATAATACAGCTCCTCTTGTTTATGACTTCCACCAACAGTTTAGCTGACCAAACGCTCTTTACTGGAATGCTTTTATCTTAAAGGCTTTTCTCCAAGACTGAACTTTTCCTCGCACCACTATCAGGCGCAATGGTAATCTCCAATAATTTTCAGCATCCAATACCGCACAGTGCATCCTCATGCCTCACACTGCTTTAATCCAGAAGCATGATAATACTTAGCAGAGAGGAATGTGAGCCTGTATCTGTGCTGGGTGACATACTGTATGTGAAGGAGACTATGTGCCCCTCGACAGGCCAGAGGTATGCTTTTATCCTGCGGCGCATGAAGCTAAAATCAGAGGGAGCGGCCAACTCGGTTTGTGCAGCGCTCCGTCTAACCTGCGCTCAAACCGCTGTTCA